GCGCCGTGCGGGCGCGGCCGGCGTTATCTGCCGCTGGGTCAGCAAGCGCAGCCACGCCGGCTGAAGCACACTGTCCAGCTGGAATGAGCATTTCTAGGGTCGGCTTGGGGTGATGGCGCTGAGATCAGGCCCTAACTGAGCTCCCTAGACCACCATGGCCAAACAGTCTCTGTTACTGGGCAGCACCTGTCTGGCTACACGAGCAACCCTTCCCTCTCACCGGGGGGCACTAAATGGATGCACGGTAAAGGAGGGGAGAGAGCAAAGGGCCAGAGAGAGCAGGCAGAGCTGGGTTGCTTTGGGGTCAGCTTCCAGAGGAGCAAAAATGCGGGTGGTGACAGCCAAGGAGTCTGTGGAGCCCTCAGACCTGCGCCGTAACCTGTCTCTTCACCTGGGTATCCCGCGGGAGGTGGCCGAGGGGCGAGAACAGATGAGCTGTTCCTCTGGCCCCTGCGGCTGTCGAACAACTGCCACGTCCCAGAAATATTACTGAGACAGAGACAAAACTAGGGGGAACGGGTGATTTTCCAAGGGAGAGATCCACTGTAATCACACTGGTTATGAGAACATTATCCCCAGCCAGCTGTCATCAGCTGCATTTTATTTTTTTTACATATTAAGCTATGATCAGATCAGATCTGCCCTCCCTTGCGTTACGTTCTGAGGCCGCTAGATAGACTGTAAATTGCTTACCACATTGAATGACCTAAATATTCATCGTAGTAGTACAGCAGCTCAAAGGAATCAATCTGCAATGCAATGAAAAGAGATTTAAGAGGGCAGAGGGAACAGGACTCTATTAAATAAGAAGAAGCAATTAATATTTTTTTTTAAGTGCTTGTATAAAACCCTGCCTCTTTACCAGTGTCTCTGGCTTCAGGTTCTTGATGATGGGATTCTCTCTTACAGACAGATGGTGCTGGTAGCCACTGAAAATCAGGCGATGGTTTACGGAGTCTCCGACCAAGTGGATGCTGGCTCCCATGACAAACATGATGATGCTGACGTAGACCATCGATCTCGGTAAGGTCTTGGGGGATCTCTCGATGAGCTAAAACCACAGAGATGTGTTGAACAGCGAGGAGGTACCAGCAGAGACACGCGACAAGTTCTGCCCTCTCCAACTTTACGGTGCTTTGCAAAAATCCTCTAAGCCCAAGCAGGGGCTTGCAGAAAGCTGCAGGTTGTGCTGCCGTAGCGGGTGCGAGCTGCTGCCTGCGACGGCCGGCACCCCGCCGGGGGAAACGCGTCGTCCTCCCGGGGAAAGCGGTGCGACCGCACCAGAACGAACTTCCCTGATGGCAGCTGCTTTCCCTAAACGCATCTCAGACACGTTTCCCACCAGACTACATGGTTTTCAGGTTCGAGTACACACTTTATCCCTGTTTGCAACAACAAAACCACGTTTTTTTAAACACTTCTGCAAAGCAGCACCCTTAACCTGAGTCAATGCTTAGGCCGAACCAGCGATCCAGTACTTCTAATACAGTACTCAAAGCAATTTCTTCACCAGATGTGATCGAAACCGATTAATGAGAAACAAAAAGGCAGCTGTTTTCTCTGGCTGCTCTGCTGAGCGGCTCTGCAAGGCTGGCTGTGCCCTCCAGTGGCAGGGGGGGCGCCTGGAGCCGCCGGCAGCGCTCCGGCTGCCCACGCACTTCGCTCCCCTGCCTGAGACACTTGCTCCTTTATAATTCTCCCCTGGATGATTTTCAAAGGTCGCTTGTTGAACGGTTTGTTTTTTTTTTTTTTCCTTTCTTCCTAATGGAATCAGACTCGCCTCCCTCTGATTTGCTTCTAAAGAGGAAGCTGCATTTAAACCCATATCTAGAAATATCTAATTACCAGCAAAACCGGTTGAGGCAACCTTTTGAACACCGGC